TTCCGATCCCTGGTTTGTTTAAATCTCATTACGCTGCAACTTTGTTCCTGGCTTAAACAATAAGAGATTTGTGATAACTATTTGTCATTCTGGTGGGACTGTTTTCTCTTCTTTGGGTTTTTTTTTTCCGCTATAATACAAGATCAAGTTAACTCGCCTTCTAATCATTTTCCACACTATATGTGCATATGGTACAGTCCGTTATATGTTTAAAACTTCCTTCAGAGCTATTAAGTTTGTGCGTCGCTTGTTAGATTGTTGTCCCCATAGGGTCTTTGTGGTTCTTTATTGCCCTGATATATATAATTTATGTCAAAGAAAAAAACATTTGTTGTCTGGTAGATTATGAAAGAAGACGACAACAACTGGCCAGAACCCGACCGGGTTGGGAGACAAGAGCCCGAGATTGTGGTGGGAAATGAGCATATCTCCTTCACTACCTCTCAAAGATTGGATCCCTTGTAGATGTCCAGAGCAGTAATGATCCTGACTCCTGAGGGACTTCGCGTCTTGTCTTCTACTACCTTGTTCAGGTCTACGGTCTACCAATATGTGCAATGTGTGCTCGTTCTTTCTCCCTTTAACTTCATTACTGTGTATTTTTGTCTCACCATGTGCATGATTTTTGCAATAAGTGGAGGTCTCATATGCCAGTGAAAAAATTATGTCAAGTTTTCCTCTCTTACCTAAATCTTTACTTTTCTGCTGAATAGTAAGGTCAATAATGTCAAACAAATAAACCAAAATAAGTAAAGTCAGATTCTGCCTGATGATAGCTCGTGTGCCGATAGTGGGAAACGAAAATAATGTCATGTGTTAGCTCATCGGGTGGTCAGTATTACCCTGAGCTTCTGGTGTTTAATTCTGGGGCTGTCCTCATTAACTGTTGACACAGCTCTGGTTATTGCTTTTTTATTGAATGCTCCTTCCTATTTCACTTCGTTATGGTCCTCATAGCAACCTTAAATGTCTGCAGGCTTGAAATGTCTTGTGTTTTCCCTCATCTCCCTCCACTTCAAGATCAAACCCATTTAGAAAAGAAATCGGTTTTCAATATGAGATTGGTTCTTCCTCGAGATCCTGATGACTTTGTGAGAGGCTTGTCTCTGGTCTTCAAGTAGAAGTTTAGAGTTTGTTGTTTTTCTGCAATGTGATGTCTATGTGTGTGGTTAGCTTCATTGTTGAGTGAAATACGACTTCTTTTGTCATTGTTTCTTTTTGTAACCCTGAATTCTCCTAATTTAACTGTCTGGCTTTGAACCGAGGTGTGGAACAATTGCAAATGGATATAGTAACTCAGCTCGTCATATTGAGATTGAGGATCTTACCCTTTTGGCTCCAGCTGTTGTTGTGGGATGAGAGTTGTCTGCATGTGCTGTCGTTTGAGTTTTCTGTTCTTGTATTGAACCTGGCATGGGCTGCAGTGGTTTTGATTAATGTGTGGTCATTCGCCGATCAGTTTCTCGGTTTATCTGTTTGTTTTCCCTGTGGGGCTTGTTTTTGTTTGTTAGCTGTTAGACCATCTGCGTTTGGCTTAAGTGTTGTCGTCGTCTCATTCTGAGCTTAGTGAGTCTGAGTAATAGGAAAAGGGCCGCTACAATTTGATGTATGGTCAGGCTGATGTCTATGTTTGGAAGATCAAATACATCATTGACAGGAGTTGATGCTGATGTCTATGATGTTGATGCCTCGGCTCCTGACAATGTGGTTCGGTTAATTAGGATTTTCCATTGGAAGTGGACTGAGAAGGTACGTGAAAAGCATCTATCAACGAGGAAATATCCGTGTCTTTGCGGGGTTTTTTTTTTCCGGTAAAGAATGGTGGTGTCTTTGCGATTTTCAGGTTCCATCTGTAATGCTATCAGCACGGTAGAGAATGGTGTCCATGTTTATGCAAAGCTTGAAGGTACATCCGAAAATACAATTGAGCGACAAATGTTTAACAAACACTGTGTCCGTGAGTCAATTATCATCTGACCATCGGGGGAACGGAAGGGCCGAAACTCTGTCGTCAGCGGTGTAGGATAGATTCACCAGCTGATCACCTAACGCTAAAAGCACTTGTTTGCGTAATGTTTCTTGCTCCGCACGCTACGTCCATTGCATGTGCCTTTTGAATAACAAAACAAAAGCAGATCTGTGGTTTAACAAACTCCACGCCTATGGGGGCCCTTAACACCGTACACTTTTTTATTCTATTTTTAAAAAATTTAAGAAAAAAGAAATCTCTCATATAGGTAATTATGGTGAGATGGTAATAGAGGTATTTGATTGATTGTTGAGGAAGGCGCCAAAAGCAACAAAAGCTAGCATCATAACGACAGCAATGATAATAGTATATTGGAGACCCACGAGAGAAATGGAGGAGAGTGATGCGGTGGACCAGTGCGACTCCTCTCTTCGGCAGCCTAACTCCCCACTTTGGCCATTCTATTGTTTCAACATCCCATGTGACCTCTAATCCTCTTTGCTCTCTTTCCCAGTCAGAGTCTTTATATTATCTTGAGTTCCCCAACCTAACATCGCCTCTCGCGTATGATTTTATCTTTTACCAATGCAACCAAATTTTTATATCAATTCAGAATAAGACTACAGAGTATGATAGTTATGTCAAAACAGATTAATACAAAGCTCAACTTCCAAAACTGAAATAAAAAAAAAAATAGAAAATTTTATTTTTCCTTCTCGACATATCTATGATATAAAATAATCATCACATTATTAATTGTTTGATGTGAAGCTCGAATTAGACGGAAACCCATAAGTATAATGATCCTTGCAACTTTTCAAGCATCTTTTGAGAAATATAAAAAGGAGACATGGAAGGGCGTTAGGCTGCGTGGGCGTGAGGTCCGGCAGTTTCCATTATCCAAAAATTCGCCGGTCTCCTTCCCCTGAGACGCTACCATACACACACACGAAATCTTCTCTCCTTATTCGCAGATCTCGAAACCCTAGCTCTACCTTTCCTCCTCTCGGTTCGTCTATCTGCTTCTCTTGCTCTTCTTTTTTGCAAGTCTCTTGCTCCCGGCGTCTCTGGCGTTTTCGAATCCTGAATGTTTTCCTCTCTTTCTTTCTGGCGTTGGATTTGAATTATTTAGTATTTCTGCCTTCGACAATGGGTGTGTTCCCGCTCAGCTCCAGCTTTGCTTATCTTCTGTTTTGTTTTTCTGTGTTGTAGATAAGCTTCCGGGGATTTGTCGGTAGATTTTGTTGAATCGATATACATCGAAGATGTCAGAGTAGACGCTGATAAGTGAGGGTAAATGGACGACAGAGGGTCGTTTGTCGCAGTCAGGAGGATTTCTCACACTCTGGATCGAGGGAGCACCTGCCATTTCTCTTCAGGTATATATCGCTCTTACATCTTCCCATGAATCTCGAAGAGAAGTGTATCGGGATGTGTAGAAATTTCCTTTTTCATTAGCAGATGTTTCATCTTGTTACAGCTGAGGTTGTGGCAGGATCTACTGCGTGGTTAGGCCGGGGGCTTTCTTGTGTTTGTGCGCAGAGAAGGGAGCACGAGTCTCGTCCTTCATTCGATTTCACACCTGCTCAGGTACATCATTATTATTTTTAGTCAAGCTTCAAGCTCTCACGACAACCTCGCGTCTTAGTTGCTCGTTCATTGTCATTTCATGCCACACATATTTTATTCTTGTTCTGTTTTTATCCTGATCATGCTCTTAGGAGGAGTGCTTGCAGAGGCTGCAGAGTCGTGTGGATGTTCCCTATGACGGTTCCATTCCTCAGCACCAGGTGACCATTTCTCAGCTACTTTTAGTAATTAGGATCCCAAAGCTTCATAGGTATTAACTACAAACTACAAAGTTGTTTTCTGATTTTTTCACGCCCTTTTGCGTTTCGTGTAGGAAGCTCTAAGGGCATTGTGGAAGTTAGCCTTCCCCGAGGAAGAACTACGTGGTCTGATATCTGAGCAATGGAAGGAAATGGGTTGGCAGGGAAAAGACCCGTCAACAGATTTTAGGTACGTCCAAGTTTTTTTTTGTCCTCCTGTTTGCTGCGGCTGATCATTGTCTGATGACTATTTTTGTGCCGCAGGGGTGGAGGTTTCGTATCATTGGAGAATTTGCTGTATTTTGCTAGGAATTTCCCTGTATGTCTGTTTTATCTAGCTTGAAACTGTATGAACACACTACAGATACATTCATAAGGAGATTAACTATCTATTGTTCCATTAACTGTACTGTAGAAGGGAAGCTGTTGAGCACTGTAGCTAGCGGGAGTAGTTACCTTGGTAAAGAAATTTGTGTTGCTAACTTCTAACTTGTGCTTACTTTCTGTTAAATGCAGAAATCTTTTCAGGATCTTCTTCAAAAGCAAGTAGGTGATAGATCGGTGTGGGAATACCCATTTGCTGTTGCTGGTGTAAATATCACATTCATGGTCATCCAAATGCTTGACCTTGAAGCAGGTCTTAACCTGATTTTACAGTAATCAGAAACATCTGCATCTGTTTATGATTCATTATTTGTTGATAGCTTTTTCCTCCCAATTTTACAGTTAAACCACGGACAATGGTGGGGGCAACTTTTCTGAAATTACTTGCAGGTAAGCTCAAGCTGTTGTCTGTCTTTCTAATCTATGGTTTTCTCATCTTTTAAAATAACAAATCTCTGAAATAAAAGTTTATGTTCAAACTTTTGTTAATCATAACTTTTCTTTTAAATTATGAATAGTTTTTAAGATGCATAGAAATAAAGTATTTTTCAATTTATTTTAAAGGGTAAGATCTAAAACGTATAAAATAGAAGAAGATAAACAGTTCAATGGGTTTCTATCGGTCTATCTCTCATTCGGGGGAAAACAAGATCCAAAAATTTAACTCAGCTTAGCTGCCAAAAATGAAAAAGGGAGCCTTAACTATACTAGTATTTGCACACCGTGACCCGAAAAGAAATGGACTAATACTAGCTTCAGTGTGCACACTTTTGGAAGGAACATGAGTGGAAGGTCAATTTTTTTTTGCCTGAAAAACTAGTTATGGTAATGTATCTATCTTCTTCACGTTCTCTCCTCTTTTGCTCATGCAGAAAATGAATCAGCATTCGATCTTCTCTATTGTATCGCATTCAAGTTAATGGATCATCAGTGGCTCACTAAGCGTGCGTCGTACATGGATTTTAACGTACGCCATCTTCATCTGGTACTCTGAGTCTGAGCATATGATGCATCTCTAAAATGTTCCTTCTATGCATCTCCACGATTTTTATTTTGCAATTAGTAAAACATTCAAAAATAAAGAAAAACCTGCCTGGTCTGTAGAAAAAGGCCCAAATCATACAATTACAATGCACAAACAAGTGATGATTTGATAAATGGTGGCTTTAATATGTGGATACTAAACATGATATACGATTGCTGATGTTGTCAGACGGTGATGAAATCCACGCGGCGTCAGCTGGAAAAAGAGCTTCTGCTTGAAGACGTAACACGTCTCGAGGACTTGCCCTCCTTTAGTCTCCTTGGCCGCTAGACAGACTTACCGGTTGGTTGTGTGGGATCGAATTTGAAAGGAAAAAAAAAGTGCTTTTCTTATGACATTTTTCTTGTGTGAAGTACGAGATATCCGAGAGAAGTTTTGAATTTCTTTGTAAAGCAATTGATCGATTTACATAAGTCGTTGGTTCTTGGACCCCAGACATGTTTTTCCAACCAAACCAATGAATCTCGGCAACAACCCGATCAGCGAAACATGGTTGCTAGGTACATAATCGTAAGACTGAAAACTCCGCATAAAATTAAAGGGATCAAAACATTGCCGGTTAGTACTTCACTCGCAGATCCAAGACGGAAAGCTGCTTCGCCAGTTCACGGGTCCATCTGGGAACCACAATGCAATTTCCTTGTTGTCACTCTCCGCCGAGTCAATGGAGTTACTCCTGGTTCAGGTGCTTTAAAATACGATATGAGAAACTTAGATAACAGTATATATATACACACATACATATTTATACATGTATATGTGTATGTTTTTAATATTACTCATCTACCAGGAGAGTTTATAAACATAAACATATACATGTCTTCCCCAAAAGAGAGACTTTTACGTATGTATGCATGTTTATATTTTTATTTTTGTTTTATTTTTTTGTCACTTATCAAATTTATGTGGCAAAATTAATGATATGTACTGTCATCATCCTTGACGAAAATGGGAGAAATTTATTGTCATTTATAATCATATCAAATTGTTAAGATTTTGGAATTTAATATAAGAATCTCATACATTTTAAATTTTTAGCTTAGTTTTTTTTTGTTAAATTAAAAATTGGCGGAGGATATTATTAGGAGTTAATGCGAGTCACGCCTGCTCAAACATTCGGCTTAGCCATCTTGCTTCCATCGGCCATTCGCCACTCGACTTCTACCGCTTCGATTCCAAAGGAGAGATCTCGCATTTGCATAGCTGCTGAATCCCTCCTCCTCCGGCTATTTTTTCTCAGATCTAATCCCTTTCCACCACCGGAACCATGAATCCCGAATAGTAAGTTATCTTCGGTCTCATCCACCGACACTCGCTCTTTCTAAGGTTTGCCTTCGTCGAATCTCTTCTGTCCCATGTCTCGATATTTCTCGTGATCCTATCTTTGGCTATGCTGTCTAGATCGGACAGTTATTCTACTTCGTATTGCTCGGCATCCCTAGAAATCTAGGGGGTTCTAGATCTCTCGATTTGATCCTGTTGCTCGTGGATGGAGAATACTTTAGTCGTCTCTCTGCGATCTGTTTGATTTTATTTGCAGTTTCTAATCTCGATTTATGTCATGCCATCCTTTGCTAGGCATCGTACCTTTTTTTTAGTATGCTCGATGATTAAGTAGCGCAATTCTGTCGTAACTCAGTGGCTTGGTACCTCCTCTACCGTGTTGCTAGAAGGTGTTTGTTATTTTAACGACTTAGTAACTTTGGAGTTTGTGGGATTTGCAGCGACTATCTCTTCAAGCTTCTTCTCATCGGGGATTCTGGTGTTGGGAAATCCTGTCTCCTTCTAAGATTCGCAGTAAGCTTTCTGTTTTCTGGTTTAGTCTGGATTCCAATGATGTTTTGTACTTTTGTTGATATTAGTCTTCGACTTGAGAGCAGTAACCCATTTTGCAAGCAATTCTATTACGTGTTCAGGATTGTGCTGTGAATGTACTCTTCATTATTATTTTTATTTTTATATTGCCAAAATGTGGATGTCGATTGTGTTCGATTGATGTTTCTGGTTGGATATCTTATTGGACGATCCCCTTCTTTTATGGACGCAGGATGATTCATACATAGAGAGTTACATAAGCACCATTGGGGTCGATTTTGTAAGTGACTACAGTTAATCTTTCGCCGTGTAAGTTATTGAGGCTTCTATCTGATTTTCACCCTTCTTTCTCCAGAAAATTCGGACTGTGGAGCAAGATGGGAAGACTATTAAGCTTCAAATTGTATGTAACCTTTCTTTCTTCTGCACTTTGGTATCAAAACATTCTAATTTATATTGTCAAATACTAGTCTCAGTTGAGATTTTGATGGAGTCCCACATCGGCCGAGAGAGGGATCTGCGAGGGAAGGTCAACCTCCACCCTTAAGCTAGCTTTTGGGTGGAGTTAGGGCCCAAACTCTATCAGTTGGTATCAGAGCCTCTCTCTGCGGGCCGGTGTTGGCTTTGTTCCAACCCTGGTGGACCTGCGGCCCGGTGGGCGAGCGGT